TTCTCTCTCCTGAACTCTGCTTGATTTGGTATTCGTGAGAGTACAACGTGACATTAAATGCAATCTTTTCCCCTGTCAGACTACATAAGCGCAATCAAAGCCGGGACACAGGGCAGAGGTGGTCACAACTGATCTTTGTATTTGTCTCAGACTGTTTCCTTTAGGATGCAGGACTGTCCTAAGCATGTGGAGAATGTCTTGTTTTCTGTGCTTGTCACTGATTGTCATTCATGTGACAATTCAAACTCAAAATCAAATAACAGATGACACTGTGATCTGTTCAGAAGGGCCACAGAGGGATCACACCACAGACATTGCGCATGAAATTCATATCTACACCAGTAATTCTAGTAAAAAACGTAATTCTCTAATAGCATCGTAGTAAAGAATATAACAAAATAATACTGTTTTAATCTGTTTGAATCTGCTACATGCCTTCTGTCATCTGATTGATAGTTTATACTTTTTCTCCCAGAGTATGAGCTCCATTTTCTCCTGTATCATAAAATATGAGTCATAAAAGCCTGATGCATCAAATATGATACTAAAAAAAACTACTTAAAACAAGTGAAGCTACTTAGGTTTACTTGCACATACATTTAAAACAATTTTTTTTTTTTTAAATATCGAAGTTGACACATCGGGCTGATAAGGAACATTTATTTCTCAATTATCATTATATTGCATTGCATTAATATGTTTTGCTACAACTGATATTTATGTGCATTTTATGTAACTAGTCTGCTATTCTGTTATAAAGAGCTTACTGATTTACATACATGATTTACATTTGATTTGCATATTGCTCAGTTTGGGCCGCTGAATAACATTTAAGGTGTTTTTTTCCTCCCAGATTATGAGCTCCATATTCTCATATATCATACAATATGAGTCATAAAGGCCTGATTATATCAAATATGATACTAAAAAAACACATGCACTCTGTAGTTTGATTCCTAAATGAATGAATCTGTTGTTTCTATTTAGTGAAGCAAAAACAGCTTGTTATACAAAAATAAAATAAAATCTAAAAATACCATTAATATGGCCATTATTTTTTCTTTGAAAAGGTACCGTGTCTTTCTAGATTATACACAGTGGCAATATCATGTTTTTGAACATCTATTATTTAATGTAGTTTAGCATGTTAAAACCATGGTACATTAATTATTATAATATTTGTCACCATCACTTACCATTGTACCACTACAACACTTTTTATAAGGGAAATTCCAATGTAAACTAATGAAAGTTTGAATTTAAATGAACAGACTTATTTCTATTAAAACAATTCTGTTACTAATCATGGCAGTACAAAAGAAGAAAATACTTATTACAACTGTTTTAATAATTTGATCGCTTGTGTGTCATCTGCAAGCTCTGATAGAAAAATATGGTGATGGTTGTGTTTGTAGGCAGTGGTGTGACTGTGTACTCCCTCCATCCTGGTGTGGTGCAGTCAGAGCTGTTTAGGAACCTCAGCAAGCCTGTGCAGATAGCAGTCAAGATCTTCAGCCCTTTCACCAAGACCACTATTCAGGGGGCCCAGACCACCATCTACTGCGCTGTGGAGCCCAAGCTGGACAATGAGAGTGGAGGATATTACAGGTACAGAACAATTATTTTAATATAATTCTTAGTCCAGTTTACTCTCCCGATATGCACACAAGATGTCCACCATTTACATTTTTTAAGATTATAAAATGTGTTAAACATGCAATATAGAAATGATTCTAGTCATATTAATGCTCATTAAGACAGTGCCATCCATAAGCCTGAGAATCTGCTTTGTTTCCAGCAACTGTGCTCCAGCACAGTGTTCAAGCGAAGCTTTAGATGATGAAATGGCTCAGAAACTCTGGGAGCTCAGCTGTCAGATGCTTGGCATTACTTGGGACTGATGGAGCAATCCTCTCAGTGACACTGTTATAAAAGCGGAATAAAAGCTTTTGGACTAATGTCATAGATAATGGAAACTGTAGTGTTCATACAATGCCTGAATGAATGCACTATGTTTTATATTGTACATTGAATACTCTTTTTAATATTCTTATCCTTGGCTATTCTGTTATAATTTCAGTAGACATAATGAACTGCTATGAATTCAAATGTATTTTGGTCTATTAAATCTTTTATCTTTTATTTGCATTTGTTTCTTTTTGCCGATGAGCTGCTGTAATATCCACAGTTAATGAACTAAGCAGAACTGCTAATCTGAAGCTTATTTTCACAGGATGTTTGCCTTCATGCTAGCATATAAAAGTATGGAGCCCCCAAGGAGACATGGTGATGAAAAAAACAAGTAGATGTAAGGAAAAAATGTATTTCAATGCGTTTTCGCTTTCTCTCACAAAAGTATTGCATTCCTCCGAGAAAGGTGATGGTAAATAAAATTAAATGGGACGAAAATTTCTATGATTTTGCGCTATCTCACAAATATGTTGCGTTTCCCCGTGAAACTTTGCGTTCCCCCGAGAAGCTTTGCATTTACTCAGAAAACATTTGGAATGATGTGGGAGAAAAACTATACTTTGTGAACTATATAATGTGATTTCACGAGAGAACGCAAAAGTTTTGTAGGCTCAATAGTAAATGGACGATAGCTAAAATATAAGATGATCATTAAAAAAATATTTGAATGATTTTGTGTTGGCTCACAAAACGTTTGCGTTCTTCTAGAAATTTTGCGTTCACTCGTAAAACTTTTAAGTTCGCTCACAAACCGAAACATTGTATTTTGCGAGCGAATGTAAAACTATGATTCACGAGTTCGCCTGCCCATCTGTTCTTGATGGTTAATGGTAAACGAACTTGGCTTGCTGTCTTTAATGGAGGCTCGAACCCGAGGCTTGGCTTGAGGTGGAGGGATGCCGGAAGAATTGATGCTGTGACGGTGCAATGAGAGCTGCTTATATATATAGGCTCGTAATGATGATTGACAGGACTGAATGACTAGGCTCCTCCCGAACCTACGTTTGGAACTTCTTTTTTTTTTCCTCCATCACCACATCCTCTTTGGAGCTTTGTAAAATTAAACCTAGCTTAAGCGGAAGCGTAAAATTCTACAAAAGCACATGAAATACCTCGTTGTATGTTTGGATAAACTGTTTGAAAATGCTTATGGTAGAATCCATGTAACAATCCTCACAGACCGATAGACAGCTTACACAACTAATGATGATGTGGACAAGTCGTTTGGCGCGCTAAACTCCAGTCGCTAGATGGCAGCGAGCACGTCAACTGTGCGCAGGAGTTGGGAGCGAGCGCGCATGCGTCACTCTTAACGCTGCGTCAGTCTTTCCGCAGTTAAATCTACGTGGCTTCACACACAGCGGAGTCAGTTTGTAACTTGCTGCTGAACAACTGCTTCGTCCTTTGATTTGTCAACACAGGTAAGCGTCTTTTCGTCGACTTTGCGTGGTTAGTAGTCTCTACTGGTATAACGTAAAGAATGCAGTTTTAAAATAAGGTAATTAATACGGTTCTGTGTCTTACTGAGGACGTGTCTGCTGTGATCGGTGAGTTTGAGCGTAAACACTGTTTCTAACTGATCAGATATGACCACTTTCTTAGTCTGAGTTAAAAATACTTAACATTTAGATGCTTATGTTCAATTATCAATTAAGAAATGGGTATCAAAGTCCTTTGCGAGTGTTTTTATTTAGTGTAAAGTGCGCAGCATGCAGGCTAACAGTGCTAGTTAGCCAATCTGTAGATTCTAGTCATTGGTCACTAAAGATCTGTTAGCTTGTTAACAAAGTTATGTGTTTAACAACTGGCACCTTTTGAGAATATATTTTAAAAACTAGCTTTTGAGTAGATGGGATTGGATTCCAGATGCTTGGGTTTTGGGTGAAGGGTAACGTTATCTGGGTCTAATAAATTCATACGCAAGTTGGTGAAACCTGTATAGCATCCTGCGAGATGCTGATGTAGCGATGCAGAGGTCTGGTTGTGATTCGTGTTTTGTTGTCTGATGAGGCTGTTTAGTGTTTGTAGTTCACATTTGGGAGTTTAAACTGTTCTGATCTGTTCTCCCTCCAGCCTCGCATCAGGATGGATCAGATCATGCAGTTCGTGGAGCCCAGCAGGCAGTTCGTCAAGGACTCCATCAGACTCGTGAAAAGATGCACAAAGCCAGATCGAAAAGGTAATTCCAGTCTTTTGTCGTTTAATTCAAAGAATTGATAAGCATAAAGAAACTTCAGGAGTACTGATGCTATGTATGAAAGTCTACATTTTTTTTTTAAGTTCACTTGAGCTGAATGCAGATGAATTGTTTGTGATAACGATATTGGCTGTGGAAAAGATAATATAAGAGAAACATCTAATAAATAGACAGCCGTTTCAGGGGAAAATGGTGTGAAAGTAATGTTTGTAAGAGAAAATAAAAATGGAATATTTCTAAACCTATTGTTTTATTTGACTGTTTATTTTGAGCATATTTAACATTGCATTTACTTAAGTCTGTTTCACATTTATGATAAAATAGCTTCATTTTATTTCCTGCTCTCTAGAATTCCAAAAGATTGCCATGGCAACAGCAATTGGATTTGCCATTATGGGCTTTATTGGATTCTTTGTCAAACTCATCCACATCCCCATCAACAACATCATTGTGTAAGTAATCCACAAAAACACACAATTAACATTGTATTTCAGCCTTTTATTGCAAGTAATATGAAAAAAACATTGATTACATAAACATGATAGTCTAATACTACAGTGCATATAAAATTGTGCAAATTGCCTTTTGAACAGACATTTTGTTTAATTCAGTCTTTGAATTAGTCTTTGATTAAATCATGATTGTTTGTCTTTTGTTAACAGCGGTGGTTGAATCAGCTACAGTGTGATGCCAAACAGACCTTCGGCTGTGTTGGATGATGGACTGAATGCGGAAATTTGTATAAATGTTTTTTGTGCGTGTTAACATTTATATTTGGCTGTTAATAAATCAAAGGTTACACTACTCATTGTCTTCATTAATAAAAGGCTGTTAGTGCTGAGGAAAAGGCACATTTTAAAGGCTTGGTGCTTTGTTCACTGGTTTAATTCCCATGCTCCATAGAAGTGGCTTGTCTGTGGTGACAGTTATAGGTTTTCTGCCTCCTTTGGGGTCGTGGTCCTCGTAAGTGTTGGATGTGCTTACAAGCTGTCCAAAAGCCAAAACTTGATTGTCTATAAAAAGGGGACAAAAGGTAATAAGTAGAGTTTTATGGACATTCCAAACCGTTAAGAAGGAATAGTTTAGCATTACGTCACTTGCTCACCAATGGTTCCTCTGCAGTGAATGGGTGCTGTCAGAATGAGAGTTCAAACAGATGATAAAAACATCACAATAATGCACAAATAATTTATATTACTTTAGTCCATCAATTAATGCATTGTGAAGTCAAAAGCTACATATATGCAAGAAACAAATCCATTATTAAGAAACACTGCTTCCAGCTAAAATGTGAGTCCTTTATCCATAATAATTGCTTTCTCTAGCAAAAAGTCTTATCTGAATCCGGAAATACGCACTAATCAAACACCATTTACAAGTGAAAAACAATCCAAAAACGGGTTTAAACTAATAGAAAACAAGCAAAAAATGTAAATAATAAAAAATAAACGGTCTAAACAAAATAAGTGGATTTTGATGTGAAAGAACTACAGGGGATGGACTTTTTTACTGGAGGAAGCTTTATGTATTATAGACTGGTATTTTGACCAGAAGCGATGGTTTAAAGTTAAAACACCCTGATGGATTTGATTCTTATAAATGCTTTTCACTTCACAAGACTTTAATTGATGGACTGGAGTCATGTGGATTACTTGTGGTGTGTTGTGATGTTTTTATCATCTGTTTGGACTCTCATTCTGACGGCACCCATTCACTGCAGAGCAAGTGATGTAATGCTACATTTCTCCAAATCTGGGGTGCGTTTCCCAAAAGCAACTATGGTCGCAAGTTCCATCGTTACCAATAGAGTTCAATGGAACGAACCACCATAGTTCGCTAACGATGCTTTTGGGAAATGCACCCCTGTCCAGATGAAGAAATAAACTACGTTTTGGATCGCCTGAGGGTGAATACATTTTAATTTTTGGGTGAACTATTCCTTTAGGGTACTTCATGATTGAGGATTTTCATGCATTTAAGGTGCAAAGAAGGGTGAGAAATGAAGGGGATAAGAAAAAAATGCCACCAAAGTGTCCGCCTGCTGTAGTTTTAATTAAATTGGCCACCCGAGGCTTCTCACCAAACCCGCCAGGGGTGCTTGTGGAAATGTTCTAATGAGTGAAGCGGGACAGAACATAACCTCGCGTAACTTGGTGGGAACGACACTGTTTTCTCTGTCTCTGGCTCTCTCATTCAGTTTAACTGCTCACTGGAAACCCCGAGCAGCAGCAGTGCTGTAATCTGGATGCCAGACAGAGTTCAATGGCTCTCACTTCAATGGTCCAGCCATCCAGCAACAAAAGCGTACATTTCTCTTGATCACTGAGCATGCTATTCCCTTCAGAGAGACCCAGGTGCCACTCAGAAAGGAGTTATACCTGTTAGCTGGAATGTGACCCAATTAATAATTTTGGTGGTCCCTTATAATATCAGACACACTTGACCGAAGTCATTTATGTCAGGCCACTGAAGTGGAGAAGAGAGTTTATTATTTGGAGCACCAGACTGGTTAACGTGGTTTTGTACTCTTCTGCAACAGGTTTTCACGAGAAACTATTTAGTCAAACTTTAAAATGAAAACTTGTTTTCCATATCTTTAGTAAGATACTTTTCAAGTTAGTCTCTACCGAGCCTATGCTGACCCCCAGTGGCGATTTTTCTTTTATGCCAAAATCATTAGATTATTAAGTAAAGATCATGTTCCATGAAGATATTTTGTAAATTTCCTACTGTAAATATATCAAAACTTAATTTTTGATTAGTAATATCCATTGCTAAGAACATCAACATTGTCATTTGGACAACTTTAAAGGTGATTTTCTCAATATTCTTTTTTTTTTTTTTTCAAATAGTTGTTGGTCGGTAGGTCGGTCGTGTTTCAATTACTTTATTAAAGTAATGTAACTGATTACATTTGATTACTTTTTGATTACTTTTCAAAATTTCTAACGTTTTAAACTGTTACTCATTTTCAAAACATGTAAACCAGGCAGGGTTAACCTTATAGTATGTGCTCAACACTGAAAACGGTCAGACTTTCAAAATCCTTCATCACTTGAATTAAGATTATAATATTTTGAATCAGGTGTGATAGATGAGGGAGACATACAAAATGTGCAGGGCTGGGGGTACTCCAGGACAGGTTTGAGAACCACTGCTTTAAATCATTCGGAGGTTAAATACATATTTAAAATCATAACAAGAAATAGTTTAATAGCTATGATACTCTTTTTGAAATCAAATCTTTGCATAGCTATGACAGGAAACACTGGAATCTAACAATGCCTTAGAAAAAAACAGTTCATCTTAAAAAAATAAAGCATATACATAAACCCTATAGGAAATATAAGAGTTATCGGATAAGCATGTTATAAACTACTGAAACATTGGCGTTTCATATTTTAGAGCAGTCACTGCAACTTATGAAAGAACTCAATTAAATCTGTATGTAGGAGTGTGTAAAAAGTCTGTTGTAACCCCATTTGTAATCCTTAACATTTTCATAAGTAACTAATTTAATTACACATTTTTTCTTAGTAACTGTAACCGATTACAATTACTTTTATTTTGTAATTAAATTACGTAATTCCGTTACATGTAACTAGTTCTTACTCCCCAACACTGTACGCACACACACACACACACACACACACACAGAGCGTACACTAAACTTAAGCCAAAACTGACTGAAAAATGACAATAATAGATAATAATAGACAATAAAGTCTAAGTTATAAAGTAATTCAGAATGTTTCCTAAACACAAATGTATTTAAACAAACTCTTCCTATCAGAATTCATACCCAGAATCCTTTAATTGCCTATGCTGAGGAAGACTTAATTTCACCGAACAGTAAATAACGTTACGCATAAAAATTAAACACATGAAAATATATTTCCCCTAAAATATGATCCAGTCGAAGCAAGAGAAAACGAAGTAAACAATAGCTGACGCCAGATGAGCTGTTTTACTCTGAGGCTACTGAACAAACTTCAAGGTCTGAAGAAATATCACCGGACTTCAAAGGCAGCATGACAAGAGGACAAACAAGCGGAGACGACCGACTTTGGTCTGTCACTAGCGATGAACTGCTCACAATGGCCTCCTCCAGTTAATCACGCATGTCACACTGATAATTAAGTCAATTTCAAGCAAACAATAGATGTAGAGATCGAAACATTGATAACCTTGACTAAACTTTGCAATTAACTTACCGCCCCCTGGTTGCTGCTCTGACGCATATTTAGTGAGTAAAGAAGAAATACTTTTCATCAAACAGACCTAAAGCAGTGTCTGCTCACATCTTGCAGTTCACGATTTGACCAGTGGTGGCGACAAAGCACTGTGAGATGCGGTGCGTGTCGCGTCTGCGTTGAAATACATGCAAGCTGGCCTCTTTCAAAATGCTGAAGATAAGAGCCCTTACATTTAAGTATTATACACCTTTTCTTATGTTTGACCATAAATTTAAGCATTTTCAAACAGCGCTATCTGAAAGGCATATGAGATGCATTATTGTGTAAATAACCTGTCAAGAACATATTTTTCTTAAGACCATTAAGCCTATTAGGGCCAGTCCTTTTTTTGTGTTATGACAACTTGCTTTGTCACGTTGTTATCACAAATTCCCATAACCTTAATTAAAATTAAATGGATAAATAAATCAAATAAAGTAAAAATAAATGATAAGCTCTCGTTTCCTAAATTATAATCTATATATTTATACAGATAAAATATTATTTTATAGTATATATATATATATATATATTCATATTAATATATGATTTATATGATATATAAATATATATTACATACATTAAATATATACATGTATATGTGTATTTATATATACATATAAATATATGTTTTACATATATTATGTAAACAAAAACTTTTATTGTGGATGCTGTTAATCACGATTAATCAATTTGACAGCCCTAATATTGATATAATATAATTTATAGAATATATTTATAAATAATTCATAAAATAAATAGTACTGAAAATATCTACTCATGAATAATATATTCATAATCAATATTATATAATGTTTATATAAAAAGCCTATTTTAAGTACAATGATTTTTCATCATGACAATTTACCTCCCAATTCAATGATCGATCTATCTATCTATCTATCTATCTATCTATCTATCTATCTTCAAAGTGGTAGGTCAATAATAGTATACTCTATATAATACACTGATATACTGTAATGCATTGTAAGCCTGTGGTAGCCTACAAGATATCCGAAATGAACCGTGAACCGTGAAATTCAACAGCAAGAGGGACGTCGTCAGATCAGCATTCTTTATCAAAGAAGCGGTTTAATGAGATCCCTGACCTCTCAATGTTTTCTTCATCAAAAGTATGCTGACGAGCCACAGTGTGAAGCCAATGACTCTGATAGTGGACACTCAGATGAAGAGTGTGCTGTGGAGGAATGTGTGGCAGCAGATGTGTGGACAGATGGGCCTTGAGGCAGAGCACACAGACACGAGCTGAAACGCTCAGCCTCCACTCCAACACATTACAGCAGCTTCATGGAAACCTCTTCATGCAGACACATACAGGAATACAAACAGATATGCATGCAGTGGTGGAGAGGCTGATGTGTAAATTAATATTGATCTGCTTTCCTTACAGTGGACCGTAAAGGATTCCTGTAGACTTAACATAAAATCTATCATCTATTTTGTTGAAATGTATGCTCCCAAATAAATGATCACTCTCAAAATAGTCTATATAATTTTTAGTGTTTCCTAGCATGTTTCTTTGCAGTTGCTATAGTATTCTGTGGTTTTCTAAAAACTACCGTGTAATAATTTGGGGTTTGTAGGTCAGATTTGAATGTTTTTTAAAAAGTCTCTTCTGCTCACCAAGACTGTATTTATTTGATCAAAAATACAGTAAAAACCGTAACAATCTGAAATGTTATTACAATTTAAAACAACCATTTTCTATTTTAGTATATTTAAAAATGTAATTTATTCCTGTGATGCAAAGCTGATTT